ATTAAAGTCTGTGAAGAGAAAGATCATGATACCAATGAACCAAAAGGTAAGCAAAGTCAAGACACGGGGAAAATGTCTTGCAGCGGCAAAGAAAGGGCAGTTTTTATTCATTATTTCTTTAAAATGTTAATAGGATTACAATTCTCAAGTTCTCTGCCTAAGACCATAAAGGGAGTTATGAAAAGTAAGCCTCCAAAAAACCATTAAGTTTGAAATAGTCTTATGATTATGCTATAGTATTTACTCTTCAGGCAATGCATTTGACATCACAGCAAATGAGGCATAAACAAAGATCATGAACATATTAAACAAAAAGCAGTATCAAAATTTCCCCTCCTACATTACTAATTGAAAACAGGTGCAGTCTTTATTATTCAATCCTGAAAAAGTCATAATGAGAAAAGAACACTCCTTGCATGCGAGGAACAGAAATCCTTTCATAATTATGTTCCATTCAGCAACCACTGACTTAGAAGACAAAAAAAAGGAAAAACAACAATAGTGCGGTCCTTAAAAGTAGCAATTTTATATTAGAGCCATTGATTTCCTCAAGATATCTATGATTATTACCACTCCCATCACCAAGCTGTTCAGCCCAGCACAGTTTCATATTTAAGTTTGGCATCCCAACTCACAACAAAAGGTGTAACAAAGAAACGTATCTGATTCAATACTTAACAGCATCAACCCAAAAAAAAACTTCAACAACATATGGAAGATCCTTCCAGTAAAATGACATGAAGCACAAATTAGAAACTCAAGACCCTAAAGCTACTGATGAAATGAGAGGATGGATGGGAATTGCTTAGAACAGATGTGAACACAAATCTTTTGTCAGAGCTGAGATAAGAACGATGCAGTTTTGAAGATGGTAAGAGCCAGGACTCATATGTCAACTGCATCAAGTACCTTAGCAACATTAATCCAAAGAGAATCTTCGATTGTCAACTATTCAGGCAGTTTGAATCAGGAGATCTATATAGAGCTTTGTATTTTTCAGGCCACATTCCTCCCTTGACAGACATACCTCTCCTCCATACAAAACTGTGTTCTATTACAGGCTTCCTAATAATCCTCCTGAATTTTAAGTTACACTTCCAGAAACAAGAAAGCATACTCAATTGTTGCACCCCTGAGCAAAAAATTAACATCAGTTTACTCTTGGAGTGTATGAAGTTTCAAGAAAGCCCACAGGCCACCAACACACAAGTGCTAGTAGCTCCCTTTGTACCTCCCTACTACTCTATCAGGCCAAGAGACAACATTCTTACTTTTCCCAGTCACAGTGCCCTGTTTTGAGGACAGAGGTGCAGAAAAACAAGATGAATGTACAAGTTATAGAGCACAGACACACAGGGTATCGAGATGTATTTTAGGCAAGTCTGAAAATCCCAGTTAAATAAAGTGTCAGAATGGCATTTTCTGCCTTTAACTGAACAGTTACCTGGCTGACTGTACTGATCTTCGTAAGCATCCAGCCAATAAAATCTGAAAACTTGATCACCATTTTCCCCATTCACAAGTGGAAGGAGATTGGGGTCCAGCTGAACTTCTGCTGCTACTAGATCAGCTTCGTCCTCATCAATTCTGTCCCAACACGAGACATCTGGGAGAGAACAACTTCTGCAGGTTTTGCAGAAGAAGAAAGAAACAAGTAAAATTGTGCTTTTGCTATAACCACTGCTTTTCTTTTTTCCAGGCCTATATTCTCACACTTTTGGTTGTTCTTTCCACCACCAAGCAACATTCTTAACACTTGGGTTTCCTCAAGTTTCTTCTGAAAAGCACAGAGTGACAAAAACAGAACCCACACACACACTTTAAAAATCATCCACCTGGAATTTCAGCCTTGGTCATCCAGGCCCTTACAGAACAAATACTTCCAAACATCTATACAAGTTGCTCAGTGGGAACAACAGATTATTTCAAGAAAACTAGCTTTTCAGCCATGAAATGCTTACGCCTCTTTCATCATTCATATATTTTACAGTTTGAAATATTATGAGTTAAGGCTTTCCAAACAATTAAAAAAATAAACAAGGGAGAAACCCTCTTTTTTATTCTTTTTCCTATTTCCAAAAACATAACTGTTCACCATTACTTTTAGCAACAATACTTTTACCAGCATCTAACATTATGAAATACCTTCACAGATGCTTAGAATAACCATTAGCAATTTCTCATTTTTGTTTACTGTCATCAAAGTTTACTGTTCAACACCCACACTGAGTCACCTCAATGTACTGAAATACAAGTTGTCACGTGCTAAATCCCAAAAGCATCAAATATTTTTCAATTAAGTAGCTGTTAGCATGTTCAACATTACCATTCTTAACATCACTACCAAAAAAAACATTCCACAGCATTATCATCATTCTGTCTGTATCTCAGTTATCCCACTGGCAGACAAATATGCAGATAAATCCAAGGTTTATGGATATTGAAGGCCTTCTTTCTGGAAGAAAAAAATAGAAGAGGGGTCTTACAAGACAGACGTCTCTTTCTTCTCCGATTCCAGCTGCTCTGTCTCTCTCTTTTCAATCTCGTTGTCCCCTTTCAAGCTTTCAGCTGTCTCAGGTACAGTTTCCACATGCTCTGCTTCCATAGGTTCATCAAAGTCCTCCTCATCAAAATCCATCATTCCCTGATCATCATCTGGAAGTGCTGCAGATAGAGCTAAAGGCTTGACTCATTAAAATGACACACTGTATACTACAGCAGTATGCACAGAGAGCATACTCTAAGCACAAACATAACACACAGTATTAATACACAAACAAAATACCACATTTAGGCTACCTAGGCATCTAACCAGCACAAACTAAGAAGGACTTGAACACTCATATGCCATATTTAAAAGGTTTCCAGAACTGGGTTTTGATTTCTTTTTGATACCTTCAGTGCCTTTCTCTCCTGCTGTCTTCACTACTCCCCCATTTTCTGTAGCTTTTTGCACATACTTGGTATCCTCATTTTCAGGGACCCTGACAGATTTTGATGCAGAATTGAGATGTTTGGAATGAAATGAAGCTGGAGGAAGAGTTTCGTTTCTGAGCCGAGCAGGAGCTTTCTTTGATGTAGGGGTGATTGCCTGAAAAACATTTCAGCCATGAATCTAGAAGCAGAAATAAAAGTCAACAGTATTCAAATTAATCAAAACACAGATTAGTACTTATTAATGAGAAATTTTTTTTTCATTCACCTTAGAAGTTTGGGACTGCACAGAGAAAGGATTCAGTGGTACTCCAGCAGATCTTTTCCTTTTCAGCATTATAATTGGTGGTGGACTTAGCTGAACTGTCTGAATATTGAAAGAAAAGAGAAAATGACAAAATTAAGAGGTGCTCAGTGTTTTCTTTTGCCTTGGTTAGTAACATTTTCCATCACAGAGAAAGAGGGCCACTAGTATTTCTCATTTACCAAGAAAACACACCAGATATAAAACACAGCCACGTGAAAAGACAAGAGTTATCTGAGCAATCAGCTCATGAAGACAGATGCTAGAATTTTTTGTAAACAGTCTGAGAAAAACTGCAATCAGTAAGTGAAACAGTTTTCAAACAGTGGGAATTTCAATAGCTAACCCTGCCTTTAATGCACAAGTATCAGAACAACTTGTGGTCTGTTTCTCATGTCTGCTGAAGCAGCAGTACTGTGCATACATGCCTTAAGAAAGGCAGAAGTGCTCTTTCAGCATTATTACAGGCAAACACACTTTAATTTATTTACATGTACACATATTTTGTACTTAACATTATCAACAGCTGCTAACAAAAGAAATTTTAGAAAACAACAAAACACACAAAAAATCAATAGCTAACTGATATTTAAGTAAATAGAAGCCATAGTGTAATTATTACCATCATTTTCCCTAATCAGTGTTCCACAAAATTTGATAGCATTTTAAATGCATTTGTTTGATTGGGGCTTTTTTGCTAGCTAAGATATTATAACTCTCAATCAGATGTCAAAGGGAGGAATAAAATAATAAAAGCACAAAACCAAGAGAACAACTTTACATTGGGACATCCTATACCCCTCACTGCTCTGCAAAGTAAACACATTAAGCTTATTATGATACAACATATCCCATTTCAATATCTCACCACTACAGCAGTTTCAGGGTTTACATGAGCAATCCTTTCAGCTTTTACAAATCCTGCTAAAGGGGCATTAAGGCATAGAAAAGCCATTAATGATGAGCAACAGCCTCATTTGAGACAGTCCAACCCAATCATAGCAGCCACCCTGCATTCCTGACTCAAAGGAAGTGTTAATCTGGTCCTGTGTAGCAAATTGTGGGAAGCAGGAGGCAGACAGATGTCATCTTGCTGAAGCAAGTCCTCCCCCAGCTCCTCTTGTGAACCCAAACACACCAGATGGAAATATCCTACATACACTGGCTGAAGCCTGGTGACACACATACACAGCACACGACTCAGATGCAGCTAAGTCCTGCTTCACTCCAACTGACTAAAACCTAGATGGCTGCATTAGCACAGGCACTTCACATATAAACCATCTCTAATCAAGTCATAGTGATTTAAGCCTCATCAAGCAAATGCAGTCACACAACCTCTGCATGGGAGGGACAACAGGCACTGCATACAGACTGCATGCATATGTGGAACATACCAAGCACATGTGCTATGGAAGGAATCAGTCTTCAGATAGTCTAATTTTACAAAGAATTGTACTTTTTTGGTATGTTCCATGGCAAGAAAAATGAATGGATTAAGGTGTTTCCAGCAGATTTTATTAATATACTTACTTCAGCTTTCAGATCTTGAAGAATGTCCCCCAGTAAATCATCTTTTGACAGGTCCACAGTTTTCTGTAAGGTAAGATTAGCCAAATAGTTCTCAGTTACACACGCAAACCCAATTAGGAGAGCAACAGCAAATGACTAAAGGGCTTCAACAAAACACACACAAAATGTTTCCAGAAATGTTCCATACATATGAGATTGTAATACAAGTTTCTGTCTTGCTAGACAGACTGAAATGAGCCCTTGGTTTAGCCAACTCCCAGTAAAACACTGCAAACAAGTCAGAAACATTTAAATTCAAAAATGTAAAAACTTACATCTGTGTTTTTCTTCCCAACACTGGCCATAAACATAGATTTAATAGTGTTTGGCTTGGACACCGCAGATTTTGTCATCTTCTTTTTATCAATCGTAGATGTTCTGCCACCTTTTCCTTCCAGAAAAAGTAAACACAACTGTGAATTTTACATCAGAAAAGCTCAACATTTAAGGGCCCAGTTACTAGCAGGAATAGACAGCACAGGTAGACTAGTTCTTCCACCTTTACACGGATTGCTGAGACAAAACTTTGCAAAGTTTTGCACACACAACATAAAGCAAAACCCTATAAGCACCCAATCTTTCCTAGTGACATCAGAGATGCTCTTTGCCTACTCAAGTGCATATTCCACATAAAGGATACAGATACTCTACATGGAAGCATCTCCAGGGAAAAAAAATGAGTGTCCAGGAGTCAGGCACTAGGCTTGGATTACCAACATCAGACTCAGTTTCTCAGTCTGCCACCAGCTTCACAGAAGTAAGGAAAAATCACCTGATCCCAGATTCTTAAGCATGCAAGTATTTTAGTGGACAAGAGAGAACACACCTTTTAGACACTGGTTTTGAAAACCAAGACCACTGCTGGATGCATTTGTTCTAGAAGTGAATATATATTCCATGGAACACTGCAAGCAGAATTGCCCCAGTAGTGCTGAAGTAGTTAACAGTGATTTGACCTCAATTTGTGAACAATCTTCTGCATCACAGGGGCTGAACAAAATCCACAGGCACAGAATGGCAGAGCTTCACATAACATGTCATTTGGCCATATTCACCACATGCTGATGCCAAGAAGTTGCCCATTTTAGGTACCTTTTAAGAGCCCCTGGAAGACATTCTACAGTGGTTATGTTCAACTTACTTTTCTTATTGGAACTAAGAGCATCATCATCCAGATCATCATCAAAGATTTCCCTTCCATCTTCTATGTAGCCTATCCCATCTGGAGAAAAACAAATTGTTAAAAATGCAGAATTTAAATTCTGTCTTCTGATATTTTGAAATAATGAAAAGTTGCATGTATTTAAACACTCTTCCCATTTCATATAGAGCAAAAGTAAAAATGCTAAAGTGTTAAAAACTGCAGCACTTTCAGCTGTGTCTTCTATTAGACTAAATATATTATTATGTGTTTAATTAGAAACTATCAATTACAGTACCTTTTTTTGGAAGTTATATCACTGATAACTGGAAATAAAATTTCAAGAACAGGTCTTCAAGGAAAAATATTTTCATTACCATCCTAATACACTACTATGAGAGCAATGCAAGGATTCATTTCCACAAAAACTTTACCTTTTCCGTGTCTCCTAAAACAAATTTTAAAGAATGTACTCACTCTAATTTACCTCAAATCATGCATATTATGAAGACTAATTCATTTACAACACTACAATCAAAATAACTCTCCAAAAGAATCTTAACTTACCATCATCAACAATCCAGTCATCATCCTGACGGTCTCTGACCATCTTGGAGTATTCATCCTCATCTACTTCATCATAAACACCTGTGAACTCCTCAACCTGCAGTTAAGGTATACTGAGGATTAACAGCTTCCACACCATTAATCATTAATACAGGTCATCAGTTAGAACATGGAAGTTCCCAAGACATGCATGTTTTCCTACACTGCTGCATTGCTCACAACCAGCAGGCAGAGTCATTCACTTGGTTTCTTTTTTGGCAGTGACAAAATACAAGTTACCAATCTTTAAAATTATCACAGTATGCTGAAACTCAAAACATACTGAAAAGCTGGCAAAGGTTTCATTTGAAACTGGCTTAATTTAGCACAATTAAAAAACCAGAAATCCTAGTATTGGAGACCTCTGACCTTAGCTCTGCTCTGAACCACCAAGCTGAGCTCAGTGAGAAGGAAGGTGATTGATGTGCCTCAGAAAAACTGCATGTTAATGATCTACAGACTTCAAGCTTCTTTAGATTTATCCACCTCAATGTGGAGCTCACTTCCTGTTGTGATCACAATTAATTGGACAGTATCAATGTTGCACTGTCAGACTTCAGTTCTACCAGTTAAATACTTATATTTTGGTGTCAAACACAGCATTGCTAGTATCAATAGACTCCATGTCATGTAATGTTTTGAAATTAACTAAATGTTTACAATAACCTGACATTAAAACAACGCTTAATATAATAACATCAACTACGCAATTAAATTTTTTAAATGTGTCCTTCCCTGTGGCATAGTTCTCAAGCAATGGCAAACATGTTCAACTTGCAAGCAGTAAAACTGGTTTAGTTTTGAAAATAGAAACGAATAAATGATACCAAAAAGCTACAGCTACAGTTAACCATTCAAAACACAAAAGCTGATCAGAAAAGCTTATTTTGTTCCCCGTAACTTCTAGATATCTATAAACAGTGGTTAAGCAGCTCAGCTCACATTCACTTTTTATTAAGAAGACGAAGAATTTTCACCTCATATTTTATTTTTTCGCCAGCTTTGGCCTTTTTCAGACGCTCAAGCGCTTCTTGTTGGCCTCTTCTATTCTTCTTCTCACGTCTAGTACGTGATGCTGCAAAACTCCCAGTCTCATGCATAGCTGCAATTAATTATAAACAAGATACATCAGTTTGGTGATGAGCTGCTGTTGTCACTGGTACTTCATGTTCAGCAATGCATTGATAGGTGGCTGCAGTTTCACTTAAAATCAACAGCAACCGCATGGCTAAAAGCACACAGCCATGGATGGCTCTTGATAACCCAATTCTGGAATTACACTGAAGGCACAGCCTGACAGACAGGGAGATCAAACAGACTTCATCCCAGTTCACATCCAGCACTAAGCTACCACCTAGATTTCCAAAGTACCTCTCAAAACTCATCAATGCTTATCTGAAAGGGATCCCTTCACTCCTTCCTTAGGAATTTCCAGCTCCTTTTCTTTTGCATGTCTCCATGACAACTCAGGACTAGCCAGACTTAGAGAAGGCCTATACTGCTACAAAGCAGTGATGCTTATCAGGTGGTTTCAAAACGTTTAAGAACGCAGCCAGATTGAGATGAACTAGTAACTCATTGACAGCATCCGATTGCTGCCCCATTTCCTCTTACACTTCCTTCCCTTCATAACGCTCCCCCATGCAAAGTGCTCTGTACTTCCACTGACCGTCTCTCTCTTGACCTGGGGGCAAACATTTATCTGAGCACAGAGCACGAATGGTCCCAAACCCACTTATAGAAGCAAACAAGCAGCCCAGGGACAAGACTGGGGGTTTTGTGTGAGGAGCTGCACGTCCCAGCTGCAGGCAGCAGACCCAGGGCTGGCACCAGCGGCCTGACCAGGCACCCAGAGCAGGAGGACAGGCCGCTCCCGGGGTCACACTGCGGGCAGAGCTGCGTCCAGCCTGACCCAAGTAAGGACTGGCACTGCTAAGAGCCTGGATAGGCCAAAAAGGCGCATTAACCATGCCTGGTACCCACGTGGGACAACCGCAAAGATGTAGCACTTGGGGTGCATTTGTTTTCTGCCATTTCTTTGCGTTCACTGTAAGCAGCCTGACTCCTGCGAGACGAACGCGTCCCACCC